TGCTGTTCCCAAGGGCTCCAGGGGCTGGAACATCTCAAGAGGAGCACTGCAGCCTCACCCTCAGGGTTTTCCTGGCCTTTGACCAAGTCCCACAAGTACAAGCTACTCCCAACACAAGAAGCACACGCTGGGTACCGCCGGCTTCCCTCTGCCCTCCCACTCCTGCCGTGCTCTGCTCTGCTTCCCCAAACACAATTCCTCCATAGCTGCCTCTGCTAAAGCAGCAATGGGCCCAAGCCCTGAGCACCTGAGGTAACCCCCAGGTTTTTTTATCCCAGATCCAGCTTCTTTGTGCTGCCCTTGCTCTGTGACAGGGTTCACAGGAGCCGCAGAGGGTAGGAGAGGTGAAGACATCTCCACATCGCTCATGAGTACTTTGGCTTGAATCATGTCCTGCTCTCTTCTTCCAGACCTGTGGCTTTTTACCTGCAGTGACCTTCCCTGACTCGTTGTTTACCTTGAGAGAAAGGGAACATTTGCTGCCTAGAGGAGCTCAGCTACAGCTTTTCAGTCAGCGATGAAAACACTCAAAAGCTAAGAGCAGTATTTGAATTTAAAAGTCGTAATTACAGCGCCCAAGAGGCAGAAGTTGGAAGAGGGCAATGAACAAAGCAGGGAGTTGGAAGAAAACAAAGAAAGGCATGAGAGGAATCTGCGCTTTGAACACAGAGTCCTGAATATCTTGCACTGGCTACTTCAAAATGGGCACCCGAAATTAATAGATTCTTTGACCTTCGTTTCTCTGTGCTCTGGTTCTTTGTTTGTAAAGCAGAAACCACAATAGAGCCTCACCAAGGGAAAAGAAAAAAGAAAGAAGATGTCATCAGAGCAACTGTTCCAGCCAAAGCACTCGGATGCTGCAGAGATGAAGGAAAAAAAGCCACCCTAACCCTGAATGGCTTTTCAGCAAGTGAGTACCAGCATCGCGTGCAGGGAGCGGGGCAGTGTCCTCTGGAATAAAAAATACCTCCCAAAAGTGTAATTAAGGATGAACCACACATGCCCACAGGGGTTCTGTGGGCAGCCTGAAGGCAGGCATCTCTTAACTTTTAAATGCTGTCTCAACCTTGTCACTTCTGGGGTTATTTTGATGAGTTTTATGCATAGGACTCTGCCATATTAAGAGCATGTCTATGTATCTCACAAATAACTCTGCCTGCAGAGGAAACCCTGGCACAAACAAACAGAGCCTCCAGGCTGCTCCCTCTGGTCTAAGGAGCTGGATATTGTGCTTGGGCAATTCCAAGAGCAGGTATGGAGAATGGATGGGGAGCAGCCCTGGGGAGAAGGATTTGGGGGTGTTGGTGGATGAGAAGCTCAACATGACCCAGCAATGGCTGATGGCATCCCAGACACACCCCCAGTCCTGGGCTGCTTCACAAGTGTGGGCAGCAGGTCAGGGAGGGGATTCTGGCTCCTCTGCCCTGTTCAGGTGAGATCTCACCTGCAGAGCTGCCTCCATCCCTGGAGCTCACAACACAGAAAAAACCAGGGATGCATTGCAGTGAATCAGGAGGAGGCCACAAAGATGCTTGTAGGGATGCAGGCCCTCTGATCTGGAGCCAGGCTGGGACAGCTTGGGGGAAAAAAAGCTCCAGGAAAATCTGAGAGCTCCTTCCAGTGCCTAAAGGTGGTCCAAGAGAGCCGGAGAGGGAGTTGGGACAACAGCATGGAGTGACAAGTGAAAATGGTTTCCCACTACCAGGGGGCAGGGTTAGGTTGGATATTGGAAGAAATTCTTCCCTGTGAGGGTGGTGAGACCCTGGCCTAGGCTGCCCAGAGAAGCTGTGGCTGCTCCTGGATCCCTGGAAGGGCCCAAGGCCAGGCTGGACAGGGCTTGGACCACTCTGGTCTAATGGAAGTTGTTGGGAAGTTGAAACTAAGGGATTTTCAAGGTCCCTTCCAATCCCAATCCAAACCATTCTGTAATTCTGTTTTGGTGATCATCACTGACCACACCATCACATTACTTCACTGGACCTCACTGCCAGATCCTGATGGATTTATTACACCCTGGTCTCTGCAATGGCTGCTCTTGCTGCTATGGAGGATGCAAGAGGAAGGATAAAATCCACATGCCCTTATTCTGGAGTCTTGCTACTTTAAACAGATGTGGGAGGGAGGGTTGGTAAATCCTTGGACAGTTTTTCATCTTGCCTCGACTGGGCTGGGCTTTGGGCTCAGTCTGTTGTCTGGTCCCCTGTCACAGCTGCTGTTGTAATGATTCATCCATCTGGTTTTCTGGGAAAAGAAAATGAGCTAGGGAAATGTTTTTTGGTGGTTTTGTTTTTTTTTTTTTCTGGCTGTATCTTTCCTGAAACAGTTACAACTTTGCACCCACTGGAGTTACGGGGGGAGAAGGAGTCTTACGCATCAGTTTTCACTGGCTGGAGCAGAGACAGAAGTGCTGAGAATCCCATTCCTCAAAGTCAGAGCGTGACAGTTCCGTCCTGAACTGTGTTTCCAAGGAATAAAAAGGACCCAGCAAAACCCAGCAGAAGATCCAGGCTGTATTTCAGTGGGTGCACTGGACAAAACCTCGTGCTGATGACTCCAGGGACACCCGCTCCTTCCACTGGCTCCTCGCCTGCCTGAGGAGCTCTCCAGAAATGATGTGGGATGAGCTGTGAGGAGGCAGCTTGGACACAAATCCATGTGGAAAACACAGACACTGAAGGTCTTCTCATTGGATTTAAACAGTTACTCTCATGAGTGGTGTAATTTATCATAAATCAGATAAATATTGGGGGGAAATAATCCAAGGAGATCACACTGGGCAATGTTCAGGCTCAAACTGCAACAGGAAGCCACACTGGAATTTCTCCTTCTTGGTCTGCAGTGAGGATGAGACAATGTGCCCACCCAACTGGGAACACCAAGGCCACCATTCTTGGTTAAGGAAAGTGGCACTGTAAAGTCCCTTTCTCAGCAGCCCTTAAGGGCACTCTTATAAACCAGCCAGCTCCAGAGATCTCCTCCTTCTCCTCACTCCAGGAATGCATCTTCCTCGGTCCAAGCTTGGTTACAGGTTAGACTGGGGAAGCAACAGCCTGCCTGAGAACAATCATTTCTCCATTCAAACACATGATAATGAATTTCCATCAAAGGGGTCAGGTATCAAAGTTCTTTTCTACGCTGCTGGAGCAAACCTTCCTGTGACAAATTCCTGCCCTTATTCCGGCCCCGTATCTGTTACAAGTGACTCCTGTGAGAACCAAACCCACCACACAGGAACTACCCTCCTCGCTGGTCCAGCATCCTTCCTCTCCCGTCCCCCCCTTTTTTTTTTTTAGGTCTCCTTCTCCTCAGCAGCCCTTCCTCACACTTGCCCATTCCATGATTTCATCCGAGGTGGGTGGTGAGCTCGCTCTCCCCCGCGCAGCCTCTTCCCAGCGGCTCCCGGGATCCCTGCCAGCTCCTCTCCACCCACGGCCTCTCCCGACGAGCCCAACCCGTGCCAAGGCAGCATCTCACATCTGCTGGGCTGGCTCGGCCAGGCCAGGGGAGCCAAGGAGAACTCCTCTATCCCCCTGCACCAGTGCCTTCCAGGGCTTGGCACCTCCACCCCTGCATCCCATGGGATCCCATCACCAGGACATGGCGATGGGTCACTGAAGCCACTCTTGAAGGCTCAAAAGCTGCAAGCCCAAATTTGAGTTTAGAAAGCAGCTTTGAGGGTTGAAAACCAAATGAAAACTGCCTTTTTTTTTGAACACTTTTTTTCCTGAGCTGCTCCTACACATAAAACCTCTGTGTGGATTTAAGCATTCCCAGCCTGGCCAATGCAGGAGCACCAGGCAGTGAAGTCAGCTGGTGCCATGGCTTTGGACACTGTGGAGCTGAAGATGACAAAGCAGATTTGGATCAGATTTTGAATTTGTTAAACCAAAGTGTTAAAATTTAAAGCAGAGCACAGGACAGCTTCTCAAACCTCTCGGGTTATTCCCTCTGCTCTTCTGCCACAATTTAAAAATATTAATCTTTTCACTATTCCTCCTAATGCCATTTCTGTGAGTCCATAAAAGCATTTGCTCCTTGTCAGAGAATTCCGATGGCGGTGATTTATAGGCTTTGCTTGGAACGCAGCACGCAAGTACTTCACTTTTTCATTCGCCCTTTCTAAACGTTTTTAACGATCTGCTTCCTCAGATCTGTTTACATTTGGGACATTAAAAGCTAAGCAACAACTCCATTATGAGAAAGAACACCATAAAAATTCCACCATTGCCAGGAAACATCTCAATACAGTGACAAACGTAGCCACGCTCTCGTCCTGCTGCTCATCCGTGGGAAGACTGGTTTATAAATTATTCATGAGTGCCTTAAAATTTCCAGGCTAATCTCAACTAAAAACTGGGGGGGGTTTACACCATTGTTTCACTCCAAAGTTCTCCAACTGGAATTCTGATTTGCATAGAGAAATCTTGAAAATTTACTTGCACTGAATTTCTCTTTCCTTCAAGTTGTGATTTCAGTTCTCACACTGGAAACATAGTGGAGAGTCTTTACATGACAACTTATTTGGAAGCCTGAAAATCCGTGATAATTCCCATGAATTTCCTGAGAAATTTAGGTTTTTGTAGAGGTGATTTTTAAGCAGGTTTGGATTTATAAGGATTTTGGCACCTTTCAGCAGGCAATCCCATCACCCCATGGTATTTTTAGTAATGATGGACCATATGGGGAACTATCAAGCCATTCTCTTCCCAGTCTGTTTCACAGTAAGGACAGGCAAGACTGAAGATTATATCATGGTAAAACCTGAGGAAATCACTTTGTGGTCCTCTGGAGGCTACTAACAGACCAGCTCACTCACCTGTGCTCATGGATTTCACACCTGTCAGTCTGTTCTGGGATTCAATCCGCACGGTGGCATTGGAGTGTCTTCCACGTAAAATCATCAATTATAAATAAATCCCACTGGGTTTTTATGCAGTAATGTTACAGAAGAACAGACAGTGATGATATTTGAAGCAATGAAGTTAAAAGAGTTGCCTTACATTCCTCTTGCTGTCCATGCTCTGCCATGCGTTGCTTGGCAAACTGTTGTCACAGCCGGCTCCTCCACACAGAGCTTTGATGCCCCTTCCCAGCCACTCCATCCCAGGCTGTGCTGCTCCAAATCAGGGTCAGTGTCTGGCTTTCCAGGCTGGAATCCAGCCAGAGTTACACAGGGCTTGACACACTGATTGCTTTGGAGAAGTAAAGACCGAAAAATCCTCCCTCTGCAACAATATGTGAATAATTCTTCCCTGTGAGGGTGGAGATGCCCTGGCACAGGGTGCCCAGAGAAGCTGTGGCAGCCCCTGGATTCCTGGAAGTGTCCAAGGCCAGGCTGGACAGGGTTTGGAGCCACCTGGGATAGTGGAAGGTGTTCTTGCCCATGGCAGGGGGATGGGACTGGATGGGCTTTAAGGTCCCTTCAACCCAAACCAATCTTTGACTTTCACAAGCACCAAAATACTGAACTCAAATCTTTGTGATCCCAAGGCTCACCTCTCCTTTTTTTTTTTTTTGGTGCCAAGGGGGCTTTAAAAAACTTCTTTAACACGGAGAAAATGGTTTTATTGACTTGCCCCCAGGACAGATCATCTGCTTCCATGGCAGCTTCTCCAGAGAAGAATCCTCTGGGGGAGACAGACATGATGCTGAGAAGGCAGCACAGACAGAAACTGCACATAAAGGGGACTTAAATACCCAGCAATCCAGACAGCAGAGCAGGCAGCCACACATCTCTCCACACATCTCTCCATGGACTGCTCTTGGAAAGTTGTTGGAAATCCAGTAGAGTGAGAATGACATCAGGAAAAACATTTTTTGCCTTCTATTTCAAGGAGCTGAGTGGGACTATCTTCTGACCCAGGGTCTGTAACCACTTCACTGACCAGTCCATGCTGAACATCCTCTTGCTCAGCAGCAGAGGTGGGAGCACACAGCTGGTCCAGCTTTTCTGCCTGAAGCCCCAAAGTTCCGGATGTTTCCAGAGGAGATGCTCCTGCAGCACCTGGAGAAGAGAACCCAGCAGTTTGATGGACCATTGTCAGAAACCAGGAGAGCAGAGCTGTCCTAGTGATAGCTGAAAAGTGACAACCTCTTGCTGCAGGCAGCTTAACCCAGGTTACTTCACTGCCCTCACTGGATCAGATTCACCAGATAGCTAGAAATTCTAACACTATTTTCATTAGGATTACCCAAACAAGGAAGAATTTGCTCTGCTGGCACCTTTACACTGCTGTGAGCTCTCACAGCCTGTTTTACTGCACAGCAAAGCTCTGCCAACACAAGCCTCTGCTGCTTCATACTTAGCAAAGGTCCCAGCAGGACTCAACCAGCCCACAGTAAAAGCCACAATTCCTGAATTTATCCTCCTCCTCATACCTCTGCTGTGTCCTTAGCACACATTTCTGCCCCTGGAAATGTGTGCTAAGGACACAGCAGATCCCACACAATTTTTGGTTAAGAAGTCCCAAATATTTTTGGTTAAGAAGTCTCAAACTGGCTTGAAGGAATCAGGGAGCATCTGGTAGAATATCACAATTTTGTTTCATTTACTGTTCCAATCTTTCACAAGCATCCTATGCCTGCTTGTTCCATCAATTAATGTTGAATATTTTATCAATTATAATGAGAATTATAGTTCTGACCCTCAATTTATTTGCTGTGAAAACAAAGCAGTTTTTCACTATCACCTCAAGCCCCTGCTCAACACAATCAGGTTATTTTCCTCCCAGATTCCCAATATATAGTGGATTTCACAGAACATCCTTATGTAGAAGCCTAACATTTTGAGACTGTGATGCAAGATCACAAAATTTTCAGACAAATGAATTGCAACAATTGAAATTTTGGCTTGATGTAGTAGAATGAAGCGGTTTCAGGACTCATTAATAAAAAACGTGTACACTGTCAGACATTCCTGAAATATTTTTGTATTAAAAATTTCCCAACAGACATCATCTTTCTTTCCCTCTCATCCAGCACATTTTATACTAATCCAGAAGTGAGAGGGTTTTTGGAGAAGCAGTTGACTTCCAGTGCTGCTTTTGGCTTAGTCCAAGTGTTGATTTCATTTTTGCATCATTCCAGAACACTGGCAACGGGACAAACTTCTCTGGCCATGGAAACAATCCCCCTGCACATTGCATTTTGTGACTGCTGCAGGGTCTGTAAATGGGAGGATGGAGCAGATTTGCAAACAAGTAATTTAACTTACCCATTGTGGTACCTGACTGGCATTTTGAGACTGGTGCAGGTTTTGTAAGCACCATTTTGCAAAATTGCAAAAATGTCCCAAATCTATGTGACAGGGAAGACCTGTCTTCCAGTAGCTTCACTTTTTGAAAAGGCCAGAAGTTGAGAGCAAATTGGATCAATTAAAAAAAAACCCACACCAGAACAGAACAACTTGTTACATACGCCTCCCTCTTCCTTAGATATATTTCAAGCTGAAATGCTTCTGTTTTCATCAGGCAATTTTCTTCCTTTTTTCATCCTTTCTGCTCCTGTTGCTGTAAAGAAGATTGACCATGAGCAGGACACAATCCTGTGTGTGAGCACACAGGCACACCACCAGCAGTGCTCACGTCTGAAAATCTCACTTCTTCCACGAGATCCAAGCCCTTGGCAGCTCCATTTTTCTGACTGTAGGGTGCAAAGAATGTCTTGGCTTTCCACAGAAAGAATTAAAATGTTATTAACCTTCTCCACCTGTTTCTGCACCACTTTGTAACTGGTTTGAACCTTAAGATTAGTTTTTGTGTTAACAAGTTTCCCTGAAGTTCAGACATTTTGATCCTATACTCACAGCACAAGCAGCAAAACTCCAAACAGATCCCTCTGCTCCTTCAAGGACTTCCCACAAGAAATCATTTAAGCAACTGTCTGCATGGAAGCTACTTAGGCAGGGGATGTACTTAAAACGTGATGATTACTTGCAAGTCACACTTCCAACATCACTTAATTCTGCACAGCTTTAAACCTGCACAAGAACATCTGTCAAAACCCCTAAAACATGTAGAGCTCTGCATCCTGCTGCAACCTCCCCATGCTGCAAGCCAGTCTATGCTTTCCATATTTCAGTAATTTGTTCCATTAATTTAAGGGCTTAAGCTACAGTTTTTGGTACTAAACACAGTGCTCACCACTTCTCAAAGCTCTGTGTGAAAAGAGACAGAGCATGAGGGTGGATTTCATCAATGGATGGAAGCCAGAGACTTGAAAGAGATCACAAAGTCCCTTTTGGTTTTTGATAATCTTAATTAGAAATGAAGACCACCTCATTCCAACCCATCCTGCCATGGGCAGGGACACCTTCCACTATCCTGGGTTGCTCCAAGCCCCATCCAGCCTGGCCTTGGGCACTTCCAGGGATCCAGGGGCAGCCACAGCTGCTCTGGGCACCCTGTGCCAGGGCCTCACCAACCTCACCTCACAGGGAAAAATTTCCTCCTAATATCTGATCTAATCCTGCTCTCTGTTCAAAGCCATTCCCCCTTATCCTGTCACTTCTTCTTGCCAAAATTCCTTCTCCAGCTTTCAATATATTTTCATATACAGAAAAAAATCTAGAGGGGATAAAAGGTTAAAATTTGCTTCCAACAACCAGCCACAACCTTAGAAATTCCTCTGAATATTCAAAAGTTGCTCCACTTGTTTAGAAAACCCCTTGTTTTTAGTTACCCCATATGGAACAGTGGGAAAAGCAAGCAGTACATGGCTGAACTCACCAGGACATCCAGGAAAACATCCCCTGCTACAGGGATGCCTTGCTGCAGGCTGGTGTGTGATGTGTTGCTGTAGGTTAGTTGGTGTCATTAACTCCCAAAAAGCTGAATGCAAAATGATCAGGTGACTGAAGGATGATTTTCAGAGATTGTCTTCATGGATAATGAGATCCTGCTGGAACTGGGGACAGGACCCACCTTTGACTCTGCCTCCAGCCAGCTGTGTCTCTGAACAGCTGAAATTTCAGAATTCATATATATTAAACCCCCTTGGAGAGGTGACTCAGGCTGTTTATGGCTTACTCTGTAAGGAGTGTACAAGAGGAGAATGGCAGAAGCTCTCAGGCTGGCAGGGATAACCTCCATGAGATCTTGCTTTCAGCATGTCCAGAGTATGGGAGCTGCAGATTGGAAGGCTTCCTGCTGCTCCTTTTATTTCCTCATACCTCACAGACAGATCATTAAGCCAACAGGGTGGGGTTCTTCTTCTTTGATCCAAAATCCACACTGGGAAAACCATCTCCCTTGATCTTCCCTCCCAGCACTGTAAGGTTTTCCAAACCATTTCAAGGATCATCTTCACACAGAGGACCTAAACCAAGATCTTGGGTTATACATTTTTACAATTCTCCACCTCCCAGAGTTTAAACTTGTAGCATTCCTGCAATTCCATTCATTAAAATAATACACTTCCCTGTTTTCATACCATTAAAGCTTCTCTCTGGAGCCTCTTCTGTGAAAATTCTCGAGGTGCAATTCCCCAATCACTATAACCGATTTCAAATGGTGCTAGAAATTATTATTGACTCTGAACACCAAAAGAAATCAGTCATCCTCTAAAGGGGTTATGGAGATCTGCAAGGATGAAGACAGCATTTCACACTGGAGAATCCCCAAATACTTGATATCATTCTTATCAAAGCACTGGTGAGAAAACAGAGGTTCAGACAGTGAAAATTTTCAACATCAACCATTTGACACATTTTTTAGTATAGTAAAATACTTCAAAAAAATATAATCTTGAAAGACTTCTCCAGATTTCAGCAGACTTGGACAATATGACCAAGCACCTGTGGTCTAATTCTCAGTTGATGGCCATTTCCATGAGCACATCCAACCACCAACCTGCACTCTGGCAGGTCTTGTCACACAACATAAATAACACATTCTGATCTGCCAAACATGCCACAACAAAGAGCCAAACACACAGGAGGGATGCAAACAGCATCCAGAACTCCCAGTGCTTCAATGCAGAAATTACCTGTTTCAAATTTGATTGTCTGCCTTGTATGATACATGCACAAAGTATTTACAAGTGTGATGGAGCAGTAAGAAAAATACATCTAGGTAAGGCTGAAAACAGGTTTGGAGTTAAGAATTTAGAGCACATGTAGTTCTCTCCTTATTCCTCAGCATGTTGTATGAACTAGTTTTAGTAGTTGTCACTAGTTGGGGCATTAAAATCAACACCTTCAATACTGAGTTACAATTCTGTATTTTACTTTTTTGCCTCGTTTCTGTCTCAAAATCTTCTTGGGTTCTGAAGCTGTTGCTCACCACTCACAAATATTATAAACATGATGAGAGAAGAATTTCTGCCTTTGAAATGACTCTGTGCATTGCTCTCCCAGGGGTCACTGGGGTCACAGACCCACTGAGGGACTTTGTTTGGTGGTGGAGGTTAACTGGAGTGGCAGAACCACAAAAGGTGTTGTTGACTTTCTCTTCTTTTCCTCTGAGGCTCCCGAGGGTCCATTTCCCTGATGTAGGCAGGCATTCTTCCTCCAAGAACACTGATTTCAAATGGTGCTAGACAATGAATAGTTAAATCTAAACCACCATATGAAACCAGCTTCCTGAGGGAGCTTGAGTCTAGCTGGGAGGATATTCCTGTAACAATAAATTGGAAATGCCACAGAAGAATACCTAGCCACGTCGGGTTTTTATTTTTCCTGTTAAAACAGTTGATGCTTTTTTCTTATTCTTACCCTTGATTTTGGTTTGAGTCACTCAACTGCTCACTTCTGTTTTCTATTACAGGGCTACCAACAGCAAGAGAATTGCTTGCAGCAGTGTCACTCAGAGGCATTTTGTTAGTCAAGCTTGAACAACATTGTTAGTACAAGGCTTTAACAAGGAATGAAGGACCTTCATCCTGCTTGTGCTGCTGTCTTCTATTAACACATTCTGTCTGCTGAGCTCTGCCCACAGCAAGACTAGAGCCAGACACACCAGCAAGGGCAGCACTGCTGCAAAACTCCCTCTTGTGACAGCAAAACACGGAAGATGTTACCAAATCTTCATTTCAACAGCAGCAGCACCAAGACCAGCATGTGACAGAAGCTGAACATAAGTGCCTGAAGGCTGAATATTCATCCCAAAGGTGTGCAGAGAGTCTGGAACCCTGCCCACCTGTCAGCAGGCTCTGGCTGAGGTGGGATTTGCAAATTAGGGGAAAAGTGTTTCTCCAAACCTAACGTTAAGGACTGAGTTGATTAAGGGCTATTCAGACCTGGCACTTAGCACCTGGAGCCAGCACAGCTTCTAAGAAGTCTGACAGAGGGTTGTTTCCTGGAAATCTGCTAGTGAAGTGTGTTCTAGACAATTTACTCCCTTTCAAAGAGATTTTTTTTCCTTTTTTCATAAGCTCTCTGCAGCCCCTCATCTCAGCTGGCAGAACAAACATCAGACCCAAAGCCCATCTGCAGAGCGATGTCGAGCAAGTCTTGAGTGTTTGCCCAGCCCTGCTCTCAGTGCCATCTTCTGGGAAGCACTCAGGTCCATCACAGCCTCTCAGAAAGGAACACATCACCCCTGGGCAGGGGCACAGAAGGCACCACAAAGTGCCTGCATGGCAGAGGGAGGCACAAAGACACCGTGTGCCCCATCTGGTGCAGAACAACAGCTTTAAGGAAAACAACCCATCAGAGCAGGCTGGGCCTCTGCAAGCAGGCAGTTCCTGCAGTTACTGGAAGAGCTGTCACCACGCCAGGCCACATCAGCACTGGATTTATTGTGCAGCTTTTCTGTCCAGAAAGTGCCTGTGTGGAGCAGAGCAGGCAGGAAGCAGCAGGACAGAGCTGTGCCCGTGGCCCCGGGCTCTGCCCTGAGCATGCAGCTGCCTGGGATTCTTCCACACGAGCTCACAAAACACTAATGGGTAAAATGAAGCTGCTTTCAAGGGCAGGCAGAACCAAACTCTTTTTTTCCTTCAGCCATGCAGAAGTCCAGAATTTTGCCTTGCTGAAGTGTTTTCAAGAGGGTGAAGCATCTTCTTTTTTTCCCTCCTGCACCTGGGTATGCTCCATACCTGCCTCTGGAAGCCCTGTGAGAGCTGATTTAGGCTGACTGGAACCACAGAACCACTGAGGTTGGAGAAGACCTCCAAGATTACTAAGTCCAACCTTTGATTTAATACCACCATGCTCACTGAACCCTATCATGAAGTGCCAGGTCCACTTGTTTTTTGAACACTTCCAGGGATGGTGACCCCACTGCCCTCAGCCTGCTTCAGTGCTTCACCACTCTTTCAGTGAAGAAATTTTTGCTAATGTCCAACCTGAACCTCTGCTGGTGAAACTTGAGGCTGTTTGCCATTGTCCTGTCCCTTGTTACCTGGGAGAAGAGGCTGATTCCCACCTCACCACAACCTCCTCTCAGGAAAATGTTGGTCTTCAGGTAAATAAGGTCATCCCTGAGTCTCCTTTTCAACCCTCAGCCAGTCCTTGTAGAACTGACATTCCAGACCCCAAACCATCATGCAAGATGACCCCATCTGTCGAATCCTGAGGACAGGCAAATATTCTCAATCTCCTCTTCAGGGAGCAGAAAACCACATAAAAAAAAATAATTACACCTGTTCCTCAAGTTTCATCACCTGCTGACACACAGCTCTGTCTTCATTTACCCCAAGGACAACAAACCCAACCAGCTCAGACCAGGAATCCAACTCCTGAAGAGGGAAAATCAAGCCAGTGTGGACACTCTCACAGGGGTATCTGTCAGCAGCACAGCTAACACACTCCTCTCCAAGAAAATCCTCATGGGAAAAGCCCAAGAAACCAGAGATCCAGCTGTTAAACAAGGAAAGCATGGACATTTCACCAACTGTCTCCCCTGGACAAGGCTAATTCCTGCTGCAGCATCTTTTCCATGCAGTTGCATCCACGACATCCACAAATTTGAAGCTGAGGTCCAACAGCCTGGCTCTGCCTTTACCACCAGCCTTAGGATGGTTGCAGACCACAGTTTCTCCATGTGGCTATCCAGAGAGCAAATCCTGCCATTTAATATCATTTGCACTTTTGAAGAAAGCATCTTTCAAAACTTGCAATAACTCTGCGTGCTCCTAGAGCAGGGTAATGAGAAACACACTGGCATCAGGGCTGTAAACTGTCATTTCTAAATTGGAAAACCAAATGAACTGCAGATAGAGAGCTATTGTGCTGCTCCAAGATGCCTCCTTCTAATTAGGTGCTGGAAGTTTTAAAACATTTTCAAATCCTGGACTGCTCCATCCTTCCCAGATTTAATGATTGAAGAGCTGAGGGCAATTTCCTCCTTGAACTGGGAAGAAGAAGAACAGAGCAGTTAGTGTCTTCACATTTACAAGTAAGAACTTGGGAAACAGGAAAGAACCAACCCAGAATTCAAGGACTTAGATAAAAAACTGTAGATGGAAGAACATCTGATTACACTTAGGTTTCTGCAGTTACAAATTAAGTGTTCTGTAATCCTCCAGAGAAAATTATGGGAATGACATGTCAGTGACTTTAAGCTCTAATCTTACAAGCTTCATAATTCATGTTTTTATTTGACATTGATGGGATCACTTGAATGAGTAAAGTTTTGTCTGCAATTACAGCACTGCAAGAATGAAGTTTACAAAGGCTTTGTTTTGCTGTTGAATAATTCCAGTGATTTACAGGTGGTTTAGCTGCATTTAAACACTTAGTAGGGAACCCTCTCTCTTCTAATGATGAAATGCAGAATTCCTGCTCTTGGAATGACATGAGAACTGTCTGTGACTCCAAGTGTCAGCTGTGGCCACTTTATCCCATTCATCAGGGATAATCACACAGAGCATGCACTGGGTGTGACTTGGAGAGACTTCCATGGTGGACTAATGATTCTGTACAGGAAATTCATTAAAAAATAAGTCCTACTGCTTCCTTTCCATGCCCTGCCATAACAGGAGCTGTGTAAATGGATTTTGTTAGAGCTGCACTCACGACAGCTTTATGATCCATCTGAAAGGCAGAGCCAGAATCTGCAGACAATGTCCTGTGAGAGCATCACATCTGACAAACTGCTCAACTCACTGGAACTTTTTAAATCCTTTTTTTTTTAAATTGTAATAATAAAATGTGGAGCTGAGGGAAGATGACAGAGTGACAAGTCTGCAGAAAGGCTCTGTCTGTACCGTGGGAAGGGACTCTGTGAACTTCCTACTTAATGTCTGGCCATGGATCTCATTTATGAGCTGCTGCAGACACCCCATGGCATGATGGAGATGGAGGAGCCACTGAGAAATTATCCATCAACTGAAAAACCAATTAATACAAACTGCAGTGAGAAAGAACTGTCTACCCAGACAGAAACTGGGATTGTGAAGTCAGTTACAGATGTCTTTAAGGGATTTTTTTTTGTTTTTGGTCATTTTCAACTTGAACTTAAGCCACAGCTATTGGGGAAAAGCTGCTTCATCTTTTCTTTTTCTGCACCATCAATCCCCCAGCGTTTTCACCACCAGCTTAATGAATTCCAACTATCAAGAGAGCTCATCCGCTCTGTAATTTGTCTTTTTTTGTTCCCTTCACTAAACAAGCAGGAAAAATGTTTTTAATTTGCAATGCTGAATAAATACCTACTGTGTTTGCCAAGACTTTATTGACATTCATGGCTGTCCACAAAGCTGACTGACTTCTCACAGAGATGGTTTATCTCCTCAAGTCAAAAAAAATAAACCTGCCCTAACAAGAAGATGTTAATCTTCCTTAATAAAATAAATGAAAAGCAGTAGGTCAATAAATAATCCTGTGGCTAGTGAAAGCCCTTCATTCAGGATATGGTCCCAGAGCAGATTTTTGTTGACAGCAAGATCACACAGCACTGGGACACCCTCCAGTGCTCACTGCTGCCTCTGATGCTGCATTTCTTGTCACCTTCAGCAGTACAACACGACTGCCTGTGGGCCATGAAATTCATTCAAATGATTCTAATACAAAGGGAAAAAATGAGGAGTTTCTTTTCTTGAGCGAGTTATTTTCAGTCACCTGGTTTTCCACAGGGTCAGGGAAGAGGTGGCACTGCATTGCTGCTGAGCTGGGAATGAATGGCTGGGAGTGGGCAGAAAGTGATTAAGCTGGCACTAGCAGAAGACATGAACTGTGGAATTACACCTTGGATAGCATCAAATCCCATCTCTCTTGCTCAGCTGGTCATGAGGAGTTGAGATGAGTTTCAGCCTGCAAGGAAACACAGTTCTTGAACTTTCACAAGAAAATCAATACACTGAACTCTTGAGGTTCTTACTCAAGTTTTACTGGATTTTTACACAAGGCTCAACCTTCCCCACAGGCCTGTTTGCCTGATTTTTTCCATTTGAATTTCTCTCACTGAACAATTCTGTCATTTTAAAATGAGCCACGTGCAAGAAACAATCAAAGCCTCCACAGCTGGAATTTAACATCATCAGAAGGTGTGTGGTGGCTTGATATAAACAGCAAGAAAAAAAAAAAACATTTGGATCATTTGGGAGGGAAAAATAATAACAAACCATTACTGAAAAGATTCCTACACTGATAACAGTACTCCACATTCCTTCCTGGGCTTTGTTTAGCTGCACTGAGAAGTGCCATGAAGTGAAGAGATCTGGGGAACAATCCTCTGGAGCAGGCAAAGAGCCCTCAAATGAAGGCAATCATTTGCCACTAGTGAAACATCCAATTTGCCCATTATGCAGGCACACCATGCATTCATCTCTGTACTTTCAAAGCTCCTCAAAGCTTTGAGCAGCAAAGGCCTGATGGCTACAAGGTATTTGCAACAACTGATGCCAAGGAGGGGCAGGCATGTGCTGTACCTGAGAAAAAACAGCTTCTACCATGCAAGAGCTTTCTCTGTGTACTTCTGGAACAATTCATTACTGACAGGTTTGTCCTCAGAATCTGGAAGAAGAAAACACCAGAAGTTGTTTGAATTGTGTTGTTCTGCAAAGAGATGAATTAAAACACAACTTGAGAATCATTTTTCTCTTTTCCTGCAGGTTTTACGCAGATTTTTAACCACGTTATGACTCCTCACAATCTGTACTTGTTTGAGAGCACTCACAGTCAGAACAGGTAATCGAGGTGAGCCACTAACCCATCACTAAATACAGGCATCATGCTCCCTTTGGAAAGAGTAATTTTGGATTAGAACTCACCAAAAATTCACAAAAAAAAAATTAAAAATTGCTGTCTTTGTTTCCCAACAAAATGTGTGTGTAGGCACTCCTTGTGAGATGTATCCAAAATAGATCCAAACCTCCTGGCAGAATCCCTCGAGCTGCAGTCCACTTGTGCACTGCCTGTGGCAGTGGTGCCACAGGGAATAATTCTTTGTGGAGGCAGAATCCACGAATAGCAGGTGCCAGAGAATCACCTGCTGCACAGAGCAACATCCTTGACGTAAAAGTTGTCTCAGATTTACTCTGAACTCTGTTTTGAGACCTCACCAGGCTGATTTGGGGGATTAGCAGGGAAGGAAATCCTAAAAATACAAAAGCAGGCTTATCAAGCTGGGGGAAAGGCAGTAAGATGTTTTTGTGACAAAGGCTTCAGGATATGAATTATGCATTACCAAAAACTGACTTCAGTCTGGATGGGAGGAGGGAGATTTCTGTGCATCCAAATCCCAGCACAACAGGCACAAGCTGCTCTGCAGGGAATTACATACATCCTGTACAAACATTATCCATTTGAGAATCTCACTCTCTTCTTTTTTGCCTGAGTATTATTTTGTGCTGATTGTGAGAATCTGAGGCAGAAAACCACAAATAACCTGTGAAATCCTTGGAATCAGTCTCCATCCAATTCAGAGAGGGCTACTGAAACCATAAGGAAGCAGGAACAGTCTGGCTTCAGCCTCCCTCTATTTCTGTCCACATTCCCACCCTGTGCCCATCACCATAGCAGCTGACTGCTCCTTCTGCAGAACACCAACCTTTGGGGCAGCAGAGGCAGGAAAATAGGGGTTTTTTTCCCAAGTAAATCACCATTTGCTGGATAAAAGAAGCTGATGTATTTTAGAAACTGGACAGGACAGCCATAATAAAAAAATCTAACTCCCTGTTGATTGCTGAGGTATGTTAATGAGGGTATGATAATGAAGCAGCCACCCACAACAAAACTCACTGCTGATTGTCGAAGTCTTACATTATAAAAACAATATTTTCATTGGCACTGCTGCCTGACACATTTAAAATCCTCTCAGTGGGGTCTGGGAGAAAAACAATGGCCATTAAGAATAAAAAACCCAAAATATTTCTTCAGCTTAAAATAGTTCTTCTGACTTACAGCTTATGGGACGTAAGAGTGATGAGCATCATTTTTAGCAACCACCCTGGCACTGTGGCTGTTATATAAGTTTCAATAGCAGCTCTAATCCCAGCCCTGAGCAGAAATGCCCCTGTCATGAAGCACTCCAAAGCTACACCTGCTGTTTGTATCCTGGTGCCATGAGCTGGATCACAGCCACTCCTGTCCCTACAAAGTGAGCTCTCAAAGCCAGGCACTGCTGCCCCTCTGCTTATCTCCAGCACTGATTAATTTGCACTGCTCCACACTTCATCGAGGCACTTTGTCTGTCAAAGCATGCAAAGTGACCTGGAAGGAACTGCTCCTCTGTATCTTTAAAAAATAACAATAAACAGCACCAAAACTTTTATTAGTCTGTGTTTTTTTTTTGTCTGATACAACACAAACTCAGACTACTCCACCATTACCCAAGAGGAAGCGAAATTAAAATTATCACACAGAAAGCAGATAACAATTAAGAAAGATAGGAAGTTCAATCAGACCACTTCAAGTTTTAACCTCAGCTCAATTCCCACGCCTCAGGAACACACTGCAGAGGACCTTTGAGTGAAAGACAAATATTCTGTACTCCTCCCATCACATATGACACTGCAAAAAAACCCTGAAACCCAAGCCAGGAATATCTTCAGAGTGAAACAAAGCACTTTAGAAACCTTCCTTGTTATGCTGAAGAAGCAAAGAAGCCAGATGAGGCAATGAGCAGCCTGGGATAGAGGAGGGTGTCCCTTCCCATGGCAGAGGGTTGGAACTAGATGGTCTTGAAGGTCCCTTTCCAATCCAAACCATTCTGGGATTCTATGAAGCAGAAATCAGTATTTTTTACAGATATTCACTTCCTACATTCTGCTGCTGCACAGTGACAAATACATATGTCAGATACATTTATATTCTACATACTTTATAGCAGGAAAAATAACCAGTGCAGAGCTCTTACTCCATCAGGGTACTGGAAACAGAAATTATTTACCTTGCAATTTGCACAGATTTATAAGCAGGTTTTCCCTCAAACAACATATTCCTCTAGCATATGCAAAATGCCCTCTTGAGATCAGCACCTGGAATTTATAAAATGGTTTATTTAAATGCATGTTTGCATTTCCACTTCAGCCTCCCCTCATGAAATGCAGTCACACAGTTATGGTAAAAATCAAGATTTTAGGGATTGATCAATGCCCTGCTAGCCATGCTAAGGACTGGAAGATCCAGGAGAGGAGAGGGATCCTCACTGCACGCTGAGCAAGGATCATCTGGATCAGGTGGTGAGCACCTGGCAGTGCTGCAATCCATCACACCTGCACCACCATGCACAGCTTAGAATATTTACTGGTCCTTACTCCTGAACCCCTTCTACTACTCAGTTTGTGCATGTGACTTCTGTGACAGGACAGTCACAGCATGAGGATAAAAGCAGACATTGTGCTTCAATAGTAAACACTGATGCTGGCACACACCATGGAAATTACAGAGCTAATTAGAGGACAACATAATGCTCCATGTATTGAACACAGCCAGGCAAGGCATGGGAAAAGGGGCTGTTGGATTCTGAAAATAAATTTGGTTCTGCTTTGATCTACAACATCCATTGAACAACTTTAGCTGCATTAGAAAAATATGTCCCTGTCCATCAGAAAACATAACATACATCCAAATTACTGCTGATCCTTTTAGTCTCCTCCCCACAACTGGCTCCACCTTTTGAAGCTGCAAACAAGGTCAGCATCTCATCACTGGAGCATTAAAGGAGAGATGAAGTTCTACTTTTCTCTGGGACCTGAGAAACTCAGTTTGTGCAGTAGGTGTTTACCTTCCCAGTGATTTACAAGGAAGGAAACTACTGCAGCAGGACAGAGATCAAGACACACTGATCTAGAAGCTTCATATAAAACAGAATAAAATGAGCTTGGTTTTCTAGTTTGCTGCCTGAGGCAAGAAAGAGAGACATTAAAAAAAAAAAAAAAAAGAGAAAGTGTAAGGAATAATAAGACAATAAAACCTGATATAAAGGCAGATTAACAGCCTTTCTACTGCAGGCATCATAGGAAGATAAAGTTTTAAAATAGAGGCTTAAACACAAAGGTGTTTTTGTGGCATTTACAGAGGGTTGGCATGGGAGAAAGCTCCTTTCTGTTGATACAGAACTGGGCTGCAGCAGATTGCTATCAAGCCACGTGTACAAGCCACACAAACATCCTGGAAGGAAAACAAAATGATGCTGCACACAGGTGCAGGTCTGGAGCTTGACTACAGAGAAAGAGAGAGCATAATCAAATCCATTACTGCAGTGGAAATCTGGGAAGAAAGAAGATGCAGAATGTGCACACAGAGAACATAACACCACTGTGCACATTAAAAATATGATCAAGACCTCAAAACCCCCAGAACCATGGTTATTCAGTCAGGATGGAATCTCAAAGAGAAGCATGATTGATGCTGTTGAAAGTCTGACCAGTGTAAAAAAGGAAGGATGAAGAACTAGTGTTGATATTTGGTTAAGAAAAAGCTACTGGAACCATCAAAGTTTCCAACGAATTCAAGAGGCAGATGTCAATCTGGAAGTGGTGTAGGATGGAATCACAGAGGTGAACCCTAAATTGCACATGATTGATATAACTTCCTAATTCTAAAAATGTGGCCATTACTAAACTAAGGAAAAAGAAACCTAAAAAAACCTCTAGTGATTCAGTCAATGAGAGATTTCACTGTTTATTCTGCCAGCATTCAAGTTCTCCTGTTTGAACACATAAGTTAATTCATCAATTACTAAATGAGTTCAGTTAGTTCACAGCGTGTAATTAATTTATTCTCCTCTGTTAACAGGCACATCCTAGTGTCACTTTGTAGTATTTTGCAAATTCAATTACTAGACACAATGAGAAAAAGGGAATTTTGAAGGCAAAAAATAAAACTGCAGGAAAGACAGATGCAAAACCTATGGAGATAATGTACAACACAAATAGCATCTGGCAGCAAGGTCCCTTCCCTGCCCAGCAGGGCTGGCTGTTCTGAATTATCTTTTCTGTGGTTGGAACAGGTCTGGGAAGTTGGGAGCAGGAGTGTGGCAGCTGCCAGCCCATGGTGGTGTCCCCACAGCCATTTCCCTGCAGCTGGACTGACTTCTCATTTCTCTCACCCCTTCCAGTCCTTTGCAAACAGTCCCATCAAGAGATCCCTTTTTTCATGGAACTACTCTGGATTTCTTTGTGGTTTTAACAGTGGCCAAGGAAATTCACTCAAGAGGAAATTCACTCCCCATAATTCCTACTGTAGCCACTGTGAAGGTTAAAAGGATTAAATGGTTGAAGTGATGACTGGGATAATAAAGTATGTGCTGTGTAATGCCAGCTGCACAGGCCTTGACAGAGTAAAGCTTTAGAAAAAAATAGAAGAGGAAAGTCTTTAAATATAAAACCTGACAGTCCCTTAAACATATCTGCACTCCAAAGGCCATGTGTAAAGCAGGAGCTGGGAGGAGAGCCCTGGATGGGTGTTGGGAGGGAGGTTTCAGGCAGCACCTGCAGCAGTGCCAAGGTGGGAGCAACCCCAGTTAGGCCAGATCTGCCTCTCACACTCACCAGCCCTTCCAGCACAGA